CAAATGTGTCGATAAGATAACTTTCGAATTGTTCAAATGATAGGAATTACAATGAATGTAATAGTTACCATTTGTTTAAAAATATATATATTTGTAGAGTACTATAATTAAATTTTCACCTTTGTAATACAACAATTTCAAATGTACAAATAAAAATCCAAAAATTCAAATTTGTAAAATACAAACACAAAATATTTGTAATGTATTGTTGTGACATACACTTATAGTCACAATTGACCAAAAAAATCATAGACAAATTTATTCTAAGAACTAATAATAGTTTTATAATTGTAATTAAGAACAATTATCAAAATAGATTTATATGTTTTAGTATTATTTTATGAACTTATATTCACGTACTTTTTGAACTTTGTGTCGAAGGTTATTAATGGTAAATACATCATTCTGACTATAATTTGGTCTTTGATTATTACCTGTATAATGTAACAAAAATTTAATTATTGGGTTAATTGTTATTGCAAAATATTTTCTCGTTTTAATGAATTATTTTTCTATTATTTTAATTTGTAAAAAATACATGAGTTTATTATTGTTTTTTTGTATCAGCCCAGTTCGAATAAGCCCACAATCTAAACCATTATTTAAACAAATTCAGACCAAAAAATCGTATACGCCCTACAACACAATAATCCATGTCTATCCTAATACTTTTCTCTAACTTGTTTCTAATAAAAAGTAAAAAAGTAAAAAAAATGAAGTGTACAAAAACGTCCGTTATACTACATCAGAAGTTAAAAATATGGACCAAAGAAGAAGTTATTTCACAAATAATTGATTAACTTTACTTTTAAAATAAGGGGTGTCCAAATTACATCAAAATCACTGATAATCATTAAAATTCTTTTTGCAACTTTCAATGATTGTGGTCTAACAAAACTGAAAACCCATCTTCTGTCAAAATAATTTGTAATAACGCATTTCAGTTGTGCAAAACATGTTAAAGTCAAACTAATAAAAAACACCACTGTGATGCTAAATTCACGTTTTAAAAATTGTGCCGAACTTGAGAAAATCAACTTTTTTGAAAATCTTTGATTAATTGGAAATAGTGCTTATTTAAAGCAAAACTAGTTGAAGTTGTAATACCCAATATTTGTAAAGTTGTTACACAATGTTATTAAATTTACTTGAATTTAACTTGAATTATGTTGAAAAAAATTCACATTTACCAGACCATTTTTGTGACTCTTGTTCCAGTTTTATAACAATTATAGAAATACACAAGTTGATCAATAACTTAAATGCCGTAGTTGACAAAACACAGAAAATACTTGATTTTCATGGTGTTAATGA